GAGAAAGGCCTGCGTCTGCAGCTGTCTCGTCCATCTTCATTATATAATCTGCTCGCCCCCACGACAACGTCCACCGTTTGATGTGTGAGTTCATCATGACAAAGCTGGCACCCTTTGATCATCTCCTTGATTTCCCGACCAGTGATGTCTGGACTTCAAGAACCATCGCTTCGCCGTTCTGCCGAAATGACACCTCCATGAACGGTCCAGCCCAAAATGAATGACTGAGATCCACATGGACCTTGGCGCCCAAGTGAGCGTATTTCTTCGTGACCCACCACCGTGAAAAAGAACACCTCCGTGACCACTCGCTCGGGGTCTTGGCCAATCAGGGAAAACCACTCCGTGAGTCGGCCAAAGAGTTCTTTGTGAGCAGTAGGACCGGGGGGACGACCATCGGAAAGGGGGCCACGGACCTGTGGTTGGTGAGAGCTGGAGGGCGGGGCAGTCCGACTTGCAGAGTGCTCCGACTGGTCGCAGGTGTTGGTACTCTGAAGACCAACCCATCTGCTCCGGGTTCTTGGGGAAGGGGACATGTGGACAGCTGGCCCAAGACCATGTGGAACCAATCATCTATGAGTCATACACTTGAGAACGAACCAGAAAAAGGGGTCATATGCTTTTTGGAGGGTGGTGATTCTGAGTGCGACCGGAGGGTGCTTTCTCACCGAGCGGCCCAAAGACAGCAGCCTGGGGAGGGTGGAGCGAACCACGCGGCGGTTCGAAGCGCTTTGGAGATCGAAGCGAACCACTCCAAACCGACCAGACTGGATGGCCATGGATGGATGGCCCCCACTCCCAGTGGATGCTGAGGTGCAGCCCTGGGCATCTCAGAACCAAAAAGAAAGACGAGCGAAAAGAACATCTCAGCACCTCCTGTTTCGTACCTCTTTTTCGCGCAAAACCCGGACAGGTCGTCGACTTGGTCCTCCAGCTCTATGAGATTAAGAGAAACAACAAGAAATTGAGGCGGGATGGTCTCGGCACCACCAGCGAGGTCGCGGAGTGGTGACGGCACACGGAGCACAGGCACAGTCCAGGTCTCGGAACTGGGATCCAAAACACGGATGTTCTTGGTATTCGAAGGTCCAGTCTTTTGGTGGTTCTACACATCTTCCTGCATCTCCACTCGTGGTTGTGTGGATGAAGGGTGCTGCATCTACACAGGCTTCTGGATGACCTAGAGGGCGCCCGAGCAGTGAGAGCCTTCAATTGAGAGGCCCGAAGGAAGGTCTCCAGGTCTCCATCATCTCTTGCAAATGATATGCGAAATGCACCAGTGGATGGGTTCGTGTGTGGAGGGTCTCAGTCAACACGAATCGTCTCAGTCACCGAACCTCCACCCCGTGTCCCACTCCGAGAGTCCTTCGGGCTTCCCCTTCAGTCCTTCGGTCGGTTTCTCGGTTGGACCGAGATTGTTTGGAGGTGTAGTCCGAAGATGTCCCTCAATTCATCGCCTGCCGAGTCGAGGTGCCAGCTGTTTGAAATACCCATTCATCGATGCCAGTCGAGGCGCCCCCCTCGACGTGTCTGCTCTCCACCGCTCCACCGCTCACCGCGCCTCGTGGGGCCCAGCAGGTTGAAGGCGACGGAGCCGAAGTAGCCGCACAACGCGAAGGTGCCTCGGAACGACGGTCCATCGTCGGGTCCAAGGGAAACCGGAGAGAACGGGGGCAAGAAACCAGGGCCGGTTTCGTAGGTAGTTCAGACTGGTCTGGGCAAAGCCCTGCCTAAAGAAGAACACCACTTGGGATTGGTTCGGGAAGAGCATTGACACGGGCTATATGACTTCATCAGGTGCTTCTCTATAGTCGTTCGAAGAGCGTGAACTGCTCCGCATTAGAGATCTATGTTAGAAAGATCAAAAACACCGGCCAGCTCCTCACTACGGAAAACGACCTTTATTTTTTCCCATGCAGACACAGGGCAGTATAAGCAGCCGTTGGCCAACGCTGCGACATCAGCGTCGTCCGAGCCGGCCTTGGCGGGTCAATCCGCACCCAGGAACCATTGGGTTTCGGGGTCTACGGCCTCTGATCCAAAAAGGGATACCATGGCTTCGTTTGACTGTTTGCTGGCAAGCGAAAACCCATGAAACCAACAGTGGGTCCAAATCCAGCTGGCATGGACGCAACAACCGCGTCAAAACCGGAAGCGAAATGAGTCTGGAAGTCTGGAAGATGTGTATATAATTGAAGTCTGGAAGTCTAGAATGCCCAAATCCGTCTGCAAGTGGCCCAAAAATCGATTCCCAATTGTTCACCTTTCCACTGCCCAACCCACCATCGCAACTCGTGGAACTTCACCCATCCCCACCATCTGGTCCAAGTGGCGTTCCCGAGCCCGTTCAAGGCATTGAAGAGCCCCGGACCACAAAAGGCCAACCAGCCAATCACCTGGTTGGCCGCTACCGAGCGCTCCAGGCGTTTTCAGCTCAGGCGTTTTCAGCTCAGGCGCCAGGTGCGGGACGCAGAAAGCATCGGAAATGGGGCAGAACAACCGCTAGACATGGGACGCAAACCTCGCTAGACGTGTATACGACTTGTTTCGCGTTTCGTACCTGTGATGTGACCGAACCGTGCGGAAATGAGAGATGTTCTTAGGAAGACAACAGCAAGGAGAGCGAACAATGGTTTATGCTGATCTCTTCTCCCAACCAGAATTGCCAAACATATGCGTGCCTACGGAGACCCCTTTGACTAAAAAGGATTTGAGTCGATGTCCCTTTGTCGAGCACCCAGAGGTTCAACTGTTCGCCCAAAAAGGCCGAAATCATGTCCACATGTGGTGTTGCTCCTCGCTGAGGGAGCCAGACAGGCTGTGGGAACCACAGCAAAAAATACAAATTAGATGAGTTGTGAAGATGCAAGCCATCACAAGCTACAAATGACGGACCTGTGCGAGAAAGGAAGAAAGAAGCAACCAAGATCAAACAAGATATTCTGGAGATGAAGCAGGGCTCCAGAATAGAATTCATCCTTCGCAAGACGCATGTGCTGCCGAAGCATCCAAGACGTCCCGTCCAGACCTCCTGGACTCCGCATCTTCCCGGGCCGCCGGACCACCACTTGTGATCTGGCATCGGCCTTCCTGGCGACGGGGTGAGCACAGAGGGGTGCCCTCCGAATCGAAGTCGCTGAGCGCCCCGAGTCGGCTGGAAGGCAGCTTGTTGACTTGAATGACATTGACATAATCGGTGTGTTACAAAAGTTTGAAAGCAAAAAAAGATTGAAGAGGAACCGACCATTCCTGACAAATGTCATGATGCAGGCAGTGCTTTTGTATCATGAAAGCATCTCTAACACCACCAACCGGCCAAGACTCACTGATGGTGCACGCCATGGCTACAATTGATGCCCGGTCTGCCAGTGTGGAGGAAAGGAAAGCTGACCGACCACGTGCGATGAAAACAATGATGTTAAAAGACTTCATGTTTATATGAGTACACCGTGAAACACTTTGATATACTCGTATATTTCAAAATTCCAAAAATGCATACGTTGTTCTGCCTCAAGTGGTACGTTTCATGAAATATTTGCAAATGTCAACCATACGGATTGATACATCTACAAGATAACTTGCACACATCTTCAGGTAGTGCTTTTGCTCATAGTTCATTCGACCCAAGATATCCCAATCAAAGTACATGTCACATGTCTGATCTTGGCGTTCTCATTGCGTTCGCATCCAGTCATTCATTCACCTCTCTCGTTGCGGTCTGAGCACGCCAGTCACGCCCCGACGCTCGCGCCATCCGGGGCCTCGCGGGGTGGCGATCCTCCTCGCCGATGCGGCCCTCAGCCGACGCGGCCAAGGTTCGCTTCGGTTCGCTTCGGTCAACCGACGCGGTCAACTCTCTCCCGGAAGTTCGGACCACACGAGGCACGAAAAGTCGCAAAAGCTTCCGGTCCGATCAGCTTGAAGAAAGGATGCCATCTGGGTCCGGAGGCCCCTTTATCCTTTTGTGTCTTGCTGGGTCCATCGTTTCCTTCCGCATCTTGCTGGGTCCAACCTTCCACCATCGAAAAATGTCCAGAGTAAGCGTGAAGCAGCTGATGCATCTCTTCGCAAGTGCATCACGTGCATCTTTTTCTTTGGCCCCCTGCATGCGACACCTTAATCCTCCAAGTTACTTGTCTACTATCCCATCCAGCCTGCTATTTGAAGAGACTGTTTAGGAGCACCCCAGCCGTTTTGAACGAGGCCCCGGCCAGCTCTGGCATTCAGCCGATGCGTGTCAGAGCCGGCGCAGGCATAGCAATGGGCTGTGCATGAAGGATTTACTAGGCACCAAAGCTCGAAATGTTCCAGATTCTGTCTGACTGAGGATGATGGCTTGGGGATTCCTCCTGGATCCTGCCTCATCAAGGGAAGTGTTTTTTAACGTGCCTGGACGGTGCTCAGCTCCAAGTTTTACAGTATGCCGTTTCTCTGGGCCAAGTTGGTGTCCAGGGTTTGGCAAGGGACGAAGAAAACCAAAACCATAGGTCCGTGTAGATCTTTATAGACTCTAGACCATAGATTTGGCATGTCCAGCACAAACTCAAAAAAAAGGGCACCCTGTTGGAATATCCCGCCTTTACTTCACATCCACTTTCTGAAGGTGTCCTGAACGAGAACCTCATCTTCGAAGACTTCTGTGAATATTGAATACCTGTCCTGGGACCCTGGAATTCACCCATGAGCCATGAGCCACCTACCTAGTGAGTCGCGTTCTGGTCCGGATTCGAAAGCTAAAGAGTGATGCCCCCAGCCGAGCGGGTAGAGGTTCGGGTGGAGGAAGGCGCCAGAAGACTCCACAGAGCCGGGTAGATCATAACTTCCTTCAAAAACCATTGGTGAAGGCCACAAGGCCATAAGGGTTGGATGGAACACGTTTTAAGCCATTTCACATTAGATTAGTTAGAAGCGCCACCTCACTTCACCGTGCCACCTCCGTTCCTTGGACCAGCACCCGCGTTCGGACCCAGCCCCGCTGTCCACGACCGAGTCGGGGATCTTCAGAGCCCGAACTTCGGAACTCCCGACGTCTCCGCCTCTTCCTGCTTCATCTCCCCAAGCAGCTCCTGCGGAGCCCGCCCCCCCGGCGCTTCGGACAGCCGGGAGGCCTCCCGAGCCGCTCGAGTTGAAGAGTCCATTGTCTTCAAGAAAGACGGACGACCGAAACCTTGGGGTGTTTTCCTCCCAAAAATCCATGTGTTGGGGAAAAACATCATGCTGAAGCTGTTTGGGGGTCCATGGCGAATTGGATCCAATGCTAGCAAGCGAACCAGCTTAGGATCCACCGTGAGTCGATGCTTTCGGAGTCGAGTCGTTCCGAGTCGGGAACCGCTTTCGGAGTCGAGTCGGGCGTCGAGCGGAACTGCTTTCTGCTCTCCCATCACTTTCAGAGTTCCGTCCTACTTCCATAGTTACTGGGGATCCCAGGGATCCCACGATCTGCTCCACTTTCTGTCGATCGCCCAGCAAAGGGGAAAGGACTGGAAAAAGCACCCGCCCAGCCGAGCCCAGCTTGAAGCGTCGGGGGGAGAGAGAAAAAGAAAGAAATGGAAGCTGTCTGAACCTGACGCCCACCTGCGAGCCCTAACCATTCCTGTAAGCTCGGGTGCTTTTAACGCGACGGCCTAAAAGCAAGTTCCACCACCACCCATAGCCATGGCTGTGGGTTGACCTACCTGTCGGTGGATCGCCACATGGTGGACTGACACATGGGCTCTAGGTTTTGAACGACCCATCCCTCCATCCATAGTAACATGTGCATTACGAATAGCAAATACCTATACTTAGTAGACCAGTAGCTCTTTGCTACTACTAGCGATGCACTAACGACCCATCCCTTTTTTCGTCTCTCGCGCTTTCATCCGCCTACCTCCGCCTGCGCCAGCTGGTCGTTCACCCGCGCGTCCAGAAGCGCGTTGTAGGTCACCACATTCGGCCGCACGCGACTGCCGGGTGTGGGGGCGGTCGGGTCGCTTCCGGGAGGTCGAGCGCCGGTCGCTCCGGTCCAGGTCGATCTGTCTGGATCGAGGTGGTTTTCCCTTTTGGGGTGCAGGTTCCAAATCGCATCGTCGAAGAGAAGGTCCGCAGAGTCCGCAGGGTCCGCAGGGTCTGTGGTGGTGTCCGAAGTGGTCTAACAGAGTCTCAGTAGGAGTTAGCACCCATGGAAACTGGGAGTTGGAACATTCCTGAATCAGCTCAGAAGAGGATAATTCGTTATTCAGGCTTTGGAGTCGTGGAATCAGCATGGATCATTGCTGGTGGCCAGTGTGGAGGAAAAAAAGGAGTCCCAACGTGTCCAAACCAATCATGGCACTGCAGGAAGCTCGTTGCGCAGGTCACGTTGCGCAGGTCACACTACAACAAGCTCGAACGGAATTCGATCGTCCATCCAATGAGAGCTTGACCACCTGGGCTCAGCATCGATCAGCATGTGTCGGTGAGTATCTAAAGAGCTGAGTTGGAAGTTTCAATCTGAAGCTGACCAGAACGTCCAATGTGCTCGTGGTGGTCTTGCAACATCCGAGGAGAAAAAAGAATCAGAATCAGGTCATTGATGATCCCGACTCAACTTCACCAAGCAATCGAAACCACAGCTTCTGCCACCAAATTGGCAGGTCTTTCCCTCCACAGGGTGGGTTTCAACCTCCTTTCCACCACCCAAAGCTCCAAATGCTGAGCGCATGCCTCGCCTCTCTCGCCTCTCTCGCCTCTGTCCCGGCCTCTCTCGCATGCTTCGCCAAAGCTCCTCTGCCCGGTCGCAGCCCCGCACCTGTGGGCGTTGCGCGCTGAGGATGTGGAGAGTTCCTCGTCCCTCGTCCCAGGTGAAGGACGGGGATCCTGAGAGTTGAAGGACGCCTTTTTCGAAGGTCTGTTGCGTAGACCCCAAAATGAACTCAGACAAAACCACAGGAGTGCACACATCGTTACCTCCTTTTTGAGGTTCCTTTTGAAGTCATCATAGAAACATAGGAGAAAAGACTTGAAATGGAAGTAACACTTTTCAGCCTCAAGTCCAAAACTAGATCGGTTATCAAGTTTTTTGTCACCAACTGCAGCGGACCTGATTGAACAAAACGAAAAAAAAAAACACTCAGGCAGAAAGAAGCCCTCTCAAATCCTCCAGTCGCAAACAGGTTTGTTTTTGACCCTGGCCCACGCCTCTCGATGCTAATTACGTATCGGTGCTCAACAGTTCTTTGGTTGTCGGGTCAATTCCGCCAGTGCCCCAAGGCTACGGGCATTTCATGGGTTCTATTCACTTCCAATGTGAAGTGGTTGGACAAGAGTTGCAATCATGGGGGCTCCCTGATTGGAACGGTCATTTGTTCAGGGCAAAGGCAACACATAGGTCAACTCCTCAAGCCAACTTGATGGAAAGATTCGCTCTTCCTTACTTAGACAGCACGATCTACAGTGCTATCACCTAGGCTGCTGAGCAAGTTCCTGCGCTTCCACTCCGCCAGCCGTAAGACTCGGCTTTGAAGGCGCTCCCGTCCTGCGTCCTCAAGTAAAAGCCTAGCTTGGCAGCGGCCCTGCGTGCTCCAAAAGCCATACAAAGGCTCGCCACGCGGACATGATCTTCAAAAGGAAAGTGACAGGGAAGCTCAAGCCTACAAGAAGGAAACTGGGCCCTCCCCACAATTGAGGAAACTGTCCGACACCACACCAACAGCTGCTTCGCTAGCATCATGAGGAGCTCTGCAAGCCCAGGACTCGTTTCTTTTCGCTTTCGCGTCCGCAGATGTGCCATCCGGGCCGAATGCAAAGCAGAACTCGGGTCAAGTGCTGCGGACCTCTAAGTGTGAATGTTGGCAAATTAGCACGTCACCTGGGTGACGTCCACAAGGTCGCGTCTCCAACCAACTCTTTCCGGTCGCTTTTGGGGGGGATGGTCCACCAGACCCTTTTGGAGTCCGGCGGCGAATCCGACTCGACCATGTCTCGGCTCGCTCCACACGCTTCAGGTTGGCCAGAGGCCCAGCTTGGAGAAAAAGGATGCAAAAAGAACGCTGGAGGAAGGCGAATCTTCCACCATCTGGACACGTGTGGAGGAAGGTGGGCATAAAAAATGAGAGGAATGGACCCGCCTGACGACCCTTACGACCTCTGTCACAGGGTCATTGGAAATGCATGAAGCTGTGATTTCATTTTCTTCGCCCAGAAACCGAAAGATGGTGGAAAGCAACAAAAGCAAAATGGTGCAGGTTAAAGAGGGTACCTCACCTTCACGGCTCATGGCACCCCAAAATGGGCTGCCGTCATCGGCCTTGGCATAACCGCTGATCATGGAGCTGTAGGTCATGACGTCCGGCCTAGTCGAGGCGAGGCATTCGTCCTTCGAACAAGGACACAAGCGAACGAAACGAGCCCTGGAAGTTTGTTCAACCATTTTGAAAGATTGATAAACTTGGGTTGATCTGGTTTTGTTCGGTATGGCTATGAGCCAATGGCACAGTGCTTCGACTTCCAGGGCGACCTGCCGACCCCCCCCGAGTTTGGCCGAATCGCTGCCAGTCTTGGCTGGGCTTCGCAGCTGCGAGTCGCTTCGATCACCCCTTCGATGTGAACCGCCCCCCGTTTTCCCTTCAGTGTGCGGCCAGTCCGTTTCACCTCACCGGCTTACAGCCGAAAAAGAGGTGAGGAATGGGGATGAATGGTGGCCGGTGGGCTCTCAATTTGGGGAGGGTCAGAGGTCAAAAAGAGGTGTTTCCACATAGGATCGGGATGTGAGTCGGTGAGTGCTTTTGAATCCACGCCCTGATCAACCAGAGATTAACTCTTGACGATGATAAAGTGAAAACAAAGGAGCTCCACGGGCCCCCAAAGAAAAACGGTGGAACCCGTGGTCTTCGCCCCAAACGGCGATCTCCCTCGCTACTCCGACCACAACACGTCCGGATCAAGCCATGATTCCTTCCACGTCGTTGATCGACTCTTGATGCATGAAACCCCCATTCTAAAAGACCTCATTCAGAAAGAGGTCTCATTTGCAGGGTTGAAATATATCAAGTGTTCGAGTCTGCTCCTTGTTCATCTGTTCTGCCTATTCTTTCCCACAGAGCCACGCACCTCAAGTGCTGCGTTTTCAGCTCCCACCAGAGCTCCTCCGCAGAGTGTAGCTCACCTGGCGCGGCATCCGCCGCCGCGAGCTCGTCGGCGGAGGCGGCTCCGCTCGCCACTCGCGTGGCACCGAAACGGCGGAGCCGGGGTGGTGTGGCGACGTGAAGTGAAGAAGACTTTGGAGGTCAGTCTGCGGTCAGTCGAAAGGATTTGGATGGATTTGTGGTTTTTGGTTTCAGGTTCGGGATGTTGAAAAGAATCTGCAGATTTGATTGGGGGGGGCGCGGTGACCCTCCGGTCTCATGCACCCATCAGCTGGCTCAACCCCCCCAACGACTTTCACGAATCTCCCACCTGGCTACAACTCCCGACAGTGCGGTCGGGCCAAAGAACATCGGCCTCTTCTTGATCTTGGGCACAAAACATGTTCCCCCATGAAACGGACTGAGAAAACCTGCGAATGTGCAGGTGTGGCCGACCTTCCGGGAACCTGGAAGCAGTTCGACTTGGTTCGTTGGACGCGCCGGAAAGCTGCCCAGCCACCCATTTTTCACTGGCCTTTTAAGGAAACCCCAGAAGAGGGGCGCGGAGACGCGCCATATCCACTGAGGTGCGCCGCGTTCGGGTCTCCACGTTCGTGTCGGGTCTCGGTGCCTCCAGGATCTCGCAAAGACCCAAAAACGGAGGGACCAGGACCTGAACAGTGCTCATTCACCATCACCTCCAACACCCTCTTCATCCCCCCCCCATCTTCATCCCTCTCCCATCTCTTCCAACCCCAAAAATATGCCCCGCCCTATCCACCCGAGCCCCAAGACGCCTGCTCGGATCGAGGCGTACAACGCGCTGTTGAAGCTCACCAGGTCCACCAAGGCCCTCCGAGACGAGACCGCGGAGCCCGCGGAGCCCGCGGAGCCGGGGGAGTCCGGGCGCGGAGCGTTCGGGCCTGTTTCGGGGTGCTTAAGGGGAAAGCAGTCACATTGCATCGGGGTGCTATCCAAGGTATAGGGGTGCCCATTATCCGAAGACACCTGGAGTGATGATCTTTCTGTAGACCAGGTCACCTGGAGAATGATCTTCGTCTGTTGAGTGAGAAATCATCCCAATTCTATTAGCCTGGCTCTGAGAAACTGAAGAACGCACGAAAGCAGGGGACTAGCTGACTAGCTTGGTGCCCTTACTTTCATACGTACACCCCCCCCCTCTGTGTTTGTCGGTGGTGGACTATGACCAAATGTCATGTATACAGCTCACCTTGGCCTGTGGAGGGCGTTTTGATACGTCTGGTGGCATTTCCACCTGATGGGCCAACGTCTGGTGAAAACGCAGAGGATGGAGACAACACACCGACGAGGCCCGAAAAACTCGGGAAGATCTAGTGTCCTTCTCCCCGAGAAATGCGGTGATTTCCCCAACACCCATGCTTTACCCTGCTTGACCCACACAGGTGCGTAAGGATAGCAAAGATCCAACACCACCTCGGAGACCAAAAGCACTACCTTGATATTCAATATCACCCATCTTCGGCGCAAGATTTCATCCATCAGTAGTGTAAATGTGCTAAATTAAGGTCTACCAGTCTTGGAGGCAGCCAAAATAGAGCTCAAAAACCTCTACCAGCCTATGCCATCTACTCCTCATGATCCTCTGTTCGCATCGCTCGCGCGCGGATGAAATCTACGCGGGCACCGGGGCATCTGGTGCAAGAGCTCCCGAGCAGTCCTTTCCAGACATGGATGGCGAATGAATGGGTCTTAAGGGAACATCTACAGGAAACCAGGGTTTTCAACCCCAAAACTATAGGGGTTCCTGCAGATTTTCCCTTAAACCAATTATTCACTGAATTCCGCGGGCGGTTGTTTTGATGAATGGGATCCCACCGATTTCCTGTGGGTCCGCGTCTGGATTGGTCACGATTGGCCGTTTTAAAAAATTATTCATCCATCTTTTCATTCTTTATGTCTTTCCTTTTCATAAGGGGTCAACCGTGAGGATACAAATATAAGTAATAAGAGATATAAACCCCATGAATTTTACCATAAAAGACCTATGTTAGGTCAAAATAAATATGCCTTTCATTGTCTTTCTACCAGGGCCTTCAAGGGGTGCTTAATGGACACCCCTTAACGGAATAGACACCCCTTGGAGGGTGGTATGTCTTTCTCCAATGGCATCACTTCTGCACTTTTGCAACACGTGAGTTTCAACCTCTTTGGGTTTGGGCAGGGCGTGCTGAAAACCCAAAGACGCCCACGTCCGCAAAGAAACTGCCCAAAACCGCACGCCAAGGGGGTGGCTTCATGGCGTCGCTTTTATTCGGTCCTGGCATCGTTGGCCTGGCATCGGTGGCGAGACAGAGGGCGTCGCCGGCGAGGCGACGCAGATCGAACTGGAGGCGATGGCCACTCGAGTTGGAGCTTCCAACAAGCATACGACTGGAGGGCAGTTTTTCGGATTTCTTTGGTGGCTTGACAATGCCAATGATGCAAGGAATGTTCAAGGCATCTTAAGCATCAGCTTGTCCTGAAGCCTAGAGGCACTGTATCTTTTATGTTTAATATGTTTTTTCTTGGTGCAACTCAACCTATCGCCAAAGATTACTTGGATGCTTGAGTACTGTTGCACAGCGGCCAATGCTTGATAGGGATCAATGAAGTTCGAGACGCAGCATTCTTAAACCGATCTAGATCCATCGTTCAGAAAGCCTCACCTGGCTCTCTTTGGGGTCCCCGTAATACCCTCCAGCGCTGAAACCCGGCCCGTCACAGGAAGCACAACCCGTTCTGCTTCCGCCTTCGCGCACGCGCTGATGGCGCTATTGTAGCTGATGGCGTCCGGCGACAAGCGCCTGCCGTGCCCGATGGCAGCGCAAAAGATGCTGGAGCCCTGCGCTGCCACTGCGCCATTCGCTCGATCCCCCCGGACGTCGCTCGGGCTCGCCGTTCGCTCGGTCGCTCCGTCGCTCGGTTCGCGTTCTGCGACATCTCGCGGCCTCTGCGACATCTCTTGGAGAAGGTGTTGCGCACGAGCGACGTCTCCACACCTGTCCCCGGTGGAGCGGGAAGTGGTCGCCAGTGGAGTCGTGACCGTGACCCGGTGGCGAAATGGTCAGCGAAGCACCGCACCTGGCGAGCGAATGGTCCCTTTGGGCCTACGAGCCTTTCACTTCAAGGAGCTTTTGGAGGTTTCTGAAGGCAGCATACAGCGTTGCTGATGGGGTTCACTCGGCTGCTCATTGACCCCAGGCATGGCATGGCCTCTAGTTTTGAGCCATCTGCGGCTGCCCCACATCCACCATCCGAGGAGGATCACCGTCCCTTCACCAAACAGAAAAGGCGGATCACCGTCTCTCGCTCCCTTCGCAGGTCTCTCGCACCGTCTGCTCTCGAGCCCCGAGCCAAACCCAACGGACTGGTGCCCCGCCTAGCACAGGAATGGAGCACGCTGTTGAAGGTCCTCGCTGCATGGCCCGGGCGGCACGTTGTGGACGTGCGGGCCGGCCGCGAGGTCGATCCGAACTGCAGCGTAGTGGAGGCAGCAGCCACTGGCCACTGGGATCCCAGCCACTTGTTTTTTTCCATGTGTTTCCGAAAAGGCTGAGGCGAAACTTCCTCGATTGCCACTTCTGCTGGCTCCGCAGCAGAACCAGCTTCGCACAGGAAGGGTGTTTCACCAGGGCGAGGGAGGCAAGAGTCGCTAGAGTGCTTCCACGTGGAGAGTCCCCACCACGTGAGCAAATCGAGACATTGCAACCGGGTTCTCTCACCTGCCCGCCGACACCACTGGGTCTCCCGGACACCTCCGTCGGAGCCAAGCGACTGCGAAGCAACTCATCCAAGAGACTCAACGCCTGGAACCGACGGGACGACGGTTTTGGGCCCAATATACGAGATCGGGGGAAGATCTACATGCAGGGCTTGCTACCGAAGCGTCTTGCTGAACAACATGTGGAGCTCAACAGTTGAGGCACGGCCTCGGGCAAAATGCCACTGGCTTCATCTCCTATCACATACCAATTCGAGAACCAGGTAAACCAGGTAAACCAGGCCCTGAATGATCACTCCTCACTGGAAAAAACCACCCAAAGCTCTATGCCATCCCCCCGCGGCCGGTCCAACACCCGACCCACCCGACCCGTGGTGCCGAAACGACGAATTCCTCGGTCGGTGTCAACGGACTCGTGGGACCGAATCCGAGTTCCGTGTGTGTCCAGTGCACCATCAGCTCCAGTGAGCTCATCAGTTCCTGATCTCGGAACCCGAACTACGGGCCATCTCAGAACCTGAACTACGCAGTGGGGGGGGAACCCCCGCGTTAGGGACGTAGATTCTACGCCTATACGTGTCAAAGCCTCTTGCGAAGCCAAAGGTCACACATCCTCCAAGCAGGGGGCCTTGGATACACTGAAAAAGAAGTATCGCCCATGTAGGAAAGAAGGGGTGAAGAGCTGCCAAAAAAGATGGAAACTTTGAGAAAGTTCTTTTTAAGAAAATATAGTGTCTTTCACGAGCTGCTTCGAGCTATTCTATCCCATTGCTTGTGAACTGTGAGTGTACCCATTTTTTGTTTTGGGAGTTTGCCTATTGAATCCTATTTGGTGCTTGGAACTTTTGGAGCATGAAAGGATCCGTTTGCGTCCTTGTCAGGTTACGCAGCAAACGGTGAAAACCCACCACAAAAACTGTGTTACTAAGTTCTTACCCTGATGCTGCAGGTGGTCAACCGGTCATTGGCATGAGAAACACCACCCGGTGACTTCGTTTGCTGGCATGAGTGACAAAAAATAGATTCTCGGTCGTTTGCCCCCTTGTTTTCTCGTCATTCCAAAACGTTGGATCCGTGAGCGCGCTCACGGAGAAACCCGAAGCTGTCAGCTGCACTGTCAGCTGATGACGCTGATGAATTGGCCCAGTTCCATGACCAGCACCACTGACAAGGCGCCTTCTGAATCACCAAAAGTTAAAAAAATACAAGAAAAAAATCAAATATCCCCCTGGCCGCACCCGCAGCACCCTCCCCGCCTGGGCGCCCTCCGAGGCTTTGGCGCATGCGTGGAGCGCCGCGTTGAAACTGCGGACGTCTGGCCTCAGACGAAGCGAGGGGACGAGGGGACGAGGTGACGAGCCAAGCAGAGGAAAACGAAGACTTCGTAGTATCAGCTGTATCTCCAGCCCTAGCAACTACAGTAAGTGGTTTTTGAATCACCAAGAATCGATTCTGGGTGATTCAAAAATCCGTGGTTTCCCATCGTTCGGCATTGCCAGATGATCGCCATCCCCTGACCGTTTTGGCCTCCATCGCCTCCGTCCACCCCTGGCTTCGTCCACCCCATCGACGCCTCCGGGCGTCCCGGGCGCGGTCGTCGCGCGCATGCGATGGAGCAGGGAGGTGGCATGATCTGGCGAGCGTGGGCTCCCCACACCGTTGATCCGGGAGACGCAGCTGGAAAAACCCACCACGTTGACCATGAACCACGGACGATCTTCAATCTTCAACTCATCTCCATCTCTGCCTTCAGTTGCTGCCAAGCGTTCTCATACACAATCTGTCCCGGCGCCATCGGTGTGACTGCACATGAGGAAGCTGCTACCACTACCCCCACCATCTTTGTTACACGTATCACAGCAAATTCTGGCTCATGTTGTGGCAACCGCAGCAATGGGTCAAATTTAAACATGACGATCTGTGTGGCGTTTTTGTGCACGTGCTCAAAAATACACTCCAGGTTCCATCTCTTGGGTTCTCGTCCTTGTCTCCCTCGCTCTCATCGGTTGCCCGTTCTGTGTCGGGATTTCACCTTATCAACAATGGGTTTATCTTTGAAATATATACACCCCTTTCCTTCAGCGAACCCGTGTTTCTTGCTCACTCTAAAGATCTCTAAAGTTCACCAGCCCCAGCACGACCCAGTGGATGGTTTTCAGAACTCCCCAATCATCTAGTGGACATTTCAACAAAAATTGCGCACAGAGTCCGATGCCACCCAGAAAGTCCTTCAGTCAGACTAGGTGCCCGGTGTCTGCAACCTATCAACAGAAAAGTAAACTGAGCACCGCACCCGCAAAAAGAAACGGCAGGAACCAAGGAGTGCTTCATGTCCAAGTTCAGAAGGTCTATTGCAAGGTATCATGAGTGAATATCATCGTGTGATTGGTTTTGGTTCAAAGCCTCCAAAAGTTTGTTGCGAAACAGAAACAGAAAGGTATGGTGGGCAGTCCACTTGCCGATTTGAAGAGATTAACAAAAGCAGCAAAATTGGTTGGTCAGGATTGAATTGCGGTTTATTGTCACTACCTACTTTAGTTTGGACCGCCCAACATGTGAATTTCGAACTTGGACATGGGATCTCGTGATAGTTGGCTTGGGCGTGCCAATCCATTCCATTGATTCTTCTGAGTCTTCCACCCTCACACCCTGACTTACTTGAACACATTCTCCACAATGCGTCATCCAACCCTAGAGACCCACTGCGTCACCGGGTTGCGCGGTGCAACCACACAACAAGGTTGAGGGTTCTGAGACGTCAGCATAAGCCTGGCGACGGACACTGCTCTCGCTATACGTGCGCGCCCGCGTGCCTGCGTCTCCTTGTTGAGCCCATCGCTGGATGACCAGACCGTACTCCACCCTGAAGCGGGACGTCAGAGCCCGCTGCCGGGCCAGATGTGCCGGACGTTCGAATGGAAGGGCGGCCCTTCCCAAGACACATGTTGCCATGTTGACGTTGAACACGCTTCATTCATGGCCAGCGCATGATCCTGCCGCCTCCGAACGACCAAGAGATGACCAAGCGAGGCTTCCGTGGAGCTCTCGCCATCGTTGGCACGCCATTCGATGTGGCACCGCGTCATGGGGATCAAGCACGGCGTCGTCTCCAGGTGCGTTGTTGAAGCAAGAGACAGGTGGCCCTTCGTGGTGGTTGCATCACCGTCCAATGCGCTTCTTAGTTCGAACCTGTTTCGATACGAACAATGCCGCTTTTGTTTTTCTATGTTTGGATTCTGGGCCTCGGCAGGATCAGCTATCGCTGCACCTTTGGTGAAAGGGCCCTGGCCGCCATGCGCAGGTGCGCAGGCACCCGACCTGGCCACCTTCGCCACCAACCGGTTCTTACAAACCCGACCTGGCTGGAGCATCAGACTCCTCAAAGAATACCACGAAGCTCTGTGAATCAACTTTTTGAAGGAGAAGTTCCGGTGAAAAACATCCAAAACAACTGCTCTTTGCGGAACTCCCGTCTTCGGAGCCCGTGCGCCGCCGATTCCCCGCCCGTGCGCCGGCCTGGCCACCCCCCAGGGCGAGTGCACCACGACCCATATCGGACAGAACGGAACCCCCCCCCACCGTCTTCGCCGTACGGCTCCGTGCCATCCGTGCCATCCGGACGGTTTCGAAAACGCCCGGACCACGGAGGTCGGATTCCGTTGTGGTGGACGCGGGACGCGGACAGAAACCTCTTTGCCACTCCTCCCGGTCGCGGTGGGGCTGTGCTCGCCCGGATTAGGCCGAATCGGACGTCGAGATGAGCCAGCCCCAGGCGAAGCGAAGCGATCGATGAGTCGAGATGCGAAGCCCTGCCTAAGGCACTAGTGCCGTACCCCTTTTGGATGTAAACTACTGGAGTGTGTTGAAAAATCACATGTCCCGCCCTCTGGACACAAGACATGTTCTCAAGTTTTTGGCGGTTTTTGCCTTGTGGAACACTCTTTTTCCGCAGAAATCTTGGACTGATCCAAATTTGGGTATCAACTTTGTCTTTGTTGCAACACTTGAGACCCTTGATTCCTTAAACTTAAACACAAACAAACAAAAGGCATATATGCGGTATATCTGCATGTAAACTAGATAGACTCAAAAAACATCGGGTGTGTATGTCAGTATGTAAAGATATATATATATAGTATTCTCATCGTGCGAGCAGCCGAAGTTCTTTCCCAGCCCAAAACGCTCCGCGGCGTGGCTCCGTGGGGCTCCGGGCACATCTGGAGGTGTCCTGTTTCGCCAACGAGCGGCTTTCGCCAACGACGACAGGTTTCCGTGGAGGAGTGACCTGTCGAGGTGACCTGTCGGGTGTTGTGTCACGGTGAAGAACTCATGGTTTTTTGTGTCTGCGGCGCCGTACCTTCGCCGCACCAAGCTGGACATGACGACGTCTCGGACGGAGACTGCGCAGAGACGGGTCCTTGTTTCAGGTCCAAAAAGGGCCAACCGAGCGAAGATCCGTTCTTGGAGGAGGGGGTCGAAGAAAAAGTGGGCAGAAGTCAGAAGTTGGAACAAAAAAACAGTTCGGTCACTCTTCGTGAGACCTCACTCCGATTGGTCCTCAAACCCGACTGGGCACCCACTCCGAAGTGGGGTTTCGCGTCTTCCTTTTCGTCTCCGGGACCCACCTCCACAAACGAAAAGCTCCCAAAACATCATGGCGGGCAGTCGTTTCCTCTTCACGTGGAAGGAAACACCGGTCTCAACCAAACTACGAAGCCGCACATCTTCTTCGAAGTCACGTCGCTCCTCTTCCGCCACAGTTCTTCCAAGCGCTCCTCCAGCTCCACCGGGTCCGCACGCGGACCCGCCTCCTCCGCGTGTCGCGGCACGTGGGGGTTGGACCCCTAAGAGGTAGTGAACCTGGGGCATCTGCCGTGGTGCACAGGTGGCTGGGTGGCTGTCTCAGTATTAGGTCAAGCACTGCGCAGTGTGGGTCTCGGATCCTCTGGGATGGTGGGGTCGGTCCTACCGCCACGTATCGGTCACTGGAGAGATCCGATTTGGGTCGGTCACCGGAGAGGTCGAGGCAGCCACATGCGTGCATTGAGGTCGGCTCCAAAGGTGAAGACCGGCCTTGACCAATCCCCCTTTGTTCAAATCCTGGAATCCCAACCTCTGTTCTTGGAACCCTTTTGGGGGAGGGCCAATCTGTGGTTCCTTCATGCTGCTGAACCAACGCTGCTCCTCTTCACTGCAACCCCGATTCTTCCGCATCCGGTGAAAACCTGCCTGGAGCCGTAAGGGCACCGTCAGAGCGGGCCACGCGTGGCTGACGAAGACCTCGGGGCTTCGGTGGGGGAATGTGGCTGGGCCATGGGAACCAAGAATCGGAAGATCACCGATGACCTAACCCGAAACCCTTGGCTTTTCGGAAAGCCCCAGAAAACTGTCCGAAGTTCATATATCACTTCGGAGTCCTCCAGTCATGCGTCTATCGCCTTCGATGGTTTCCCCACACGGTGTTCCGGACCCGTGGACTCCACTGCGCGGACCGACCGCGACTCGGTGGCTGCGGAATCGCCCCTTCTGTGACCTGCGACCCGTTTCAGAGCTGCAACTTGTTGGGTTGTTCCTTTCACTTTGTTCCTTTCACTCTCGCCTCCCACCTTTTATTTGGTGATTCCCAAACATCCACCGCCCTTTGCTTCCCCCACCGCCCTCCGAACTCCATCCCGCTCAAACGCGCCCCTTTCCGAGCGGCGCCGGCCACCAGGGCGGCCGCGGGCTGCGCCCGCCGCGACGGACGTCGCGCCCGGCCGCCGGGCGCGCGGCCTGGAAGCGGCAGACGACATGTTGGTGGACTTCGTTCCAAACGTTTGGTGTATTGGTTTGCTTGTGAAAAGAGTTGGGAAGCCAGAGTGCTGGATGGTGAAAAAACCACTGTGGGGTCAGACTGTCGTTCGACGAATCCAATAAGTGACTGCAGGTATCTTTGGAGGGCACCCTACCAGTCTTTTTCCAAAAATGTCTTGCATCTGCTGTGCCGGTGCACCTGGCACAGGCCAGTTCCATTAGTGAATCTGCTCCGGCTTGGTCATAGGTCATATCTCAACATCTCCTCCCAATGATACCATTCTGTGGTGAATTAGTCTCCTTTTCGGAGACCGTCTTTCCATGCTTCAGCGGCCACGAACGCCACCGAACCCCCGAGTTCGCGGTTTGGAACGGAACCAATTGGGGAACAACCACCTCGCGCCCGGCCGAGGATGTTCCAAACCGTGGTTTTCAGGTGCTTTTTTGTACGCAATACCACGTGAGTGACATAGATGTTCAGGTGATTTTTTCCTTGGATGGTAGAGTTTTGCACGAATAGATTCTGACCATCCAAGGAATGTCCATGCGAACATGTTTCCGGTGACATTGCGATCCTGAAAAGGATCAAAAGGACGATCAAAGACCTGTGACCATCCAAGACCCTTTGCAGTGCGAAAAGGTCTTGTTGGGTCATTCATGAGTCGTTTTTGGATATCATTTCTATATAGGATGATTCTGGTGGATATCGTTGGGAGTTGCAGGATGCTATCCAAGCACTGACTAGTTACTCTCCGCCAGGGTGGTGGGGGGGGGCATTGAACGCTCCTTCGATCGCCCCACGTCGGGCTCCGAGATCGACACGTTGGGTTCCGAGATTCAAGATATCCAACGTGTCCAGTCGTTGGCATCAGGAAGATCAACCAGCTCAAATCGCCTGAACGCCGAAACGCCCGACCCACTCGCCCGACCACGCGCGAGTCGTGGCCCCTCGCGCGAGGCGCGCATCGAGCGAAGCGCTTCGTCCAGGTTTCCTCCACATGCGCCGCACATGCCCCGGTCCACATGGCGCCGGTGTTCGATGAGACGACGGAAGCGATGCAACAGCGATCTGCTTGGGGAGAAATCCGATTCGTATCTGATATCATTCTCAGGCTCTCACTTGTCAGTAAAAAATAGCCAATATGATGTTTTTAGCGTGCGGATCCCTTCGGATAGAAGCCAGCCGGGTCAACCGGGTTTTTTTGCGGCTAATGGGTCACCCAAGTCTAAAAAAATACCTACTTGGCTGGTCACGTTCGGCAATGTTTGTTACACCTATATACTTGTTTTAACACCAAAAAAGTCATGCCTCCTTCATGACTGGCAGGGCTTGATGACTGGATCAGCGACGGCAAAAAAACCGCTCTCCGCTCCGCGACCCGGTGAAGCTCCGCTCCGTCGAACAAATCCGTTCAGTCGTGTGTTCCGTCCTAAAAACCCTGGACATGGATTTAACGAAGAGGTCGACTTACATAGATGGTTGACATAGATATCCAATACATGCTTTACCCCCAACTTCATTGAAGTCTACCTCTTGTTTGGTGTCATTCACCCGTCACATTGTGCTGCAGCTCACAAGACTTCACCGAGCCAAAAGCAGCTGGAAAATCGATCGCAATCTCACGCAATCGAACTAAAGGGTGTGATTTTTCTTGCAGCATGTTCTTTCTTTCGTGACCCTCCTCCCAGTACTGTGCACGGAAAGAAATACGGTCGACCAAACAAAAATGCAAACACGAGCAAACAACACAAGGTCCAAATCCCAATGCCCACCCTGCAAAACTATTTTTGTTTTGATGCTGCCATTGCACAAGTGCCACAGAAAGTGCACAGGGTTCAAAGTCACAATGCACAAGGGCAAACAGAATAGTTTGGTCTTCAGTAAGAACTTGGATTCCAGCCGCGCCAAGATGCTTACCACACCAGCAAACACAGCCCACATAACTTCCCAGAAGGTTGACGGAACCGCGCTTCTGACACGAAACAGAGTCCAATGTTGGTCTTATGAAAGGGTGCTTACGTGTTTTTGTCCCATGAAAAACCATCTGGTATGATGTCCGATCCCATTTGACCATCTGGAAGTGCTGGTTTTTCTCAAGATGGAAATGTCCAATGTAGGACAACCGCACCCACCCATAATTGTACCTGCAGCCAGGAAACAAAGCTACGGCCGGTATGCACACTGCAAGAAGAGGACACAAACCCAGTGTGTTTACAGGTGAACCGCCAACTAACGATTCAACGCATTCCTGTCTTCGTCTTGAACCAAACAAGTGGTATCGAGTGAAATGTCTTGACTGGTACAATATACTACCATGAAAACACGCCACCCACTGAGCTTGACTGGTACCTTGTTCTGCACTTTTGGGACGTATTTTGACAGCATGGAAGAGGCTGCTTGGCAGTGTCCAGCATGGGGCAGTTCTCTGTTTCGCTCTGCCTTTCAACTGTGGTGAGTTCGGGTTCTGCCCGGTGATGTGACACGTTCCCACACACAAGGAGGAAACACTCGCAAAAGCAAGCACCGCGCAGCTTTTGCGAATTTCATGTGTCTTTTTTTGCACACTTTAGGCACAGTAAAAGTGCAAAGAGCTACGAGGCTCACCTCAACGAACGATTTCCCATGCGGGAATTTGCAAGATATCGACTTAAAGTACTCAAACAAATACGATGCTGTTCCTACAAAAGCTACACTGCTACACTTTTATTGCAAGCCTTCAAATAAATACAATGTAAACATTGAGTGAATTGCACTACACAGAACTTTCAAAACACTTCCAAGCAAGCGCGAAACACAGGAAACATACGACAATTCTTTTGAAATGCAATCTGTGGACTCCAGTGCCTTCGTAAAGTAGAAATGTCAAAGCTAAAAGTTTCAACTAGACGACCGATGACCTGAGAGCGTTTCTGTGTACACTGGTGCATGGTTACGATGAAACGGTAAAGTAAGGAGAGCTGTGGGGTGGGTGCGAGAGAAAGTGAAAGAGATGATGAACAAAGGAATGGGTGAAAAAGAATGCTGCCTGGAGGAGAAAAGCAAAGGTGTTTTCCAGTCGATGTTCATGTCCACGAATGCGTTTGCAGTGAAATGTTGGGATTCAGGCGCTGCCCCAAAGATGTCTTCCGGTCAAGGTTTAAAGAGGTTTGCGTGCGTTTTTGCAAAATGCCCATGAGATCCTTTCAACACAATCATCATTCGCAGTTTAACGTAAAATTCGTGGCTTGAGAACCTGCCCAAAAGTTGTCCCCAAGCCTCCAGCAACGCCGTTGGATCACGCGTCGTTCTGCTTGTCGCATCGTCCGCAGGTGCATTTCAAGGCTTACGTCGGACAGCCCCCGCACTGGTCGGTATGAGAGGAAGAGGAGGTTGAAGGTTGATGGAGGATCCAAAAACACATGGACGCAAGTGGTCCTGCAGCCCATCAGTGCTGCAATGTGGGACTACGGGTTTCCGCACTACTCCGCACATCACCCTCATTGGACATTCTTCCCACCGTCTTGATGTGCAAAATCTCTCCGAACTTGTGCAGCGCAAGCGGAAAAATGGGACACGCACCCTCAAGTTTTTCTCAGAAGTGTTGCTCTTCAAAACAGTCTGCACTGGCGTTCAAGGTTGCAGTGGGTCAGAAGTTGGCGTCTGGAGACGTGTGGCCAGTGGGCGGAGCAGCAGTGTCAGTATTTCTGGCAAGTCTGCGTGCGCGAACACAACAACGGACTCAAGCTTTCTCAGAACATGTGGCCAAGCAAAAAAACTTCCGGGCTGGGTATTTTTTCAACCCCAAAATAGTATTTTGTGATTTGGAAAGTATTTTTGCCAATCCTAAATTGTCTTTTTTGATCGGAAAGGTTTTTTTTCGACCCCAAAACTGTATTTTTTAAACCCCACAAAAAAATAGAGAGAGAGAGAGAGACAACGGTGGGGGCAGTTGACGGTGCGAAGGATTGGCTGGCACACGTGACTGTCTCAAAGATGGATCGGATGGTTAAAGGTCAGCTCTACACGGCGCCTGCCAGCTACTTACAGCATGTTTTGTCAGTCTCTTGCTCGAATAGAGTTGTCCGAGGTCCCTGCGTCCAGTTCCTCTGCCAGTTCCGTCCTCCAGGTACCTGCTTCCTGTATTCAGCAGTTCTCTTTCGCCAATTCCCTGCCCCAACTCATTTCTTTCTTCAGCCAGGGTCCCTGCCTCTACGTCTTCTGCCAGTTACTTCCTGCGAGTCCCTGCCTCTAGATCTTCCAGTTTTCTTCCGGCTGTTTTCTTCCCATTTCCTGCCTTGCTACCGTCATCCAAGGTCCTTGCCTCAGGTGCTCTGCCAGTTCCTTCTCACAGTTCCTTCTTCCCTGTCTGTCCCCCCCTCCTCGTTCCAGCAGGGGCCAATTCCTCCAGTTACCTTGCTGCAGGTTATTCCTTCCACTTTCCTTTCTCTAGTTTTTGTTGAAATCGGTAATTAAAGTTCTTCAAGAAAATTGTTTGCAAAAGGTGCTGAAAGAGTTGGTATTGTTGGCACGCCCTGGCTCTCTGGCCGAAAAGTTGAAGCCCTCTTGCAAAGTGAGATCGTGTCTTGCGATCATGAATACCAAGGTGAGGGTGGGTGGGCTTGTTTAAGCACGCATGCCACGATGAAGTGGCACCCACCGCTACCCTCCCTTGAACTTTTAAATGTAACGGACTTCAAAGATGAAACTCTAAAGCAAGCCACCCGAAACAGAGGTTTCTAAAACACGTAGATGACAACACAATCGTTTTCAACGAGTTCTGTCGTCTTCCACGTGCTTGGTGTCTTGCATACAATTCACGAAACATCGCTCCTTTTTCGACTGGGGGTTGTACGATTGGCTCTCCCCCTTTCTTCTTCGTGCAACCCGACATGTTTGTTCACAAAGTCACACAAGCTCTGAAATTTGTGACGTGCAGCAACTGAGCAATCCTTTTCATCATTCAGGAGCTCATGCCTACATAGGCGTGAGGGCCAATCACTGACGTTGGCCTCTGTGGGAACACGGGCAAACCAAGTCTGAGTGTTAAGCTTTACTTCCTGTCGAAGATAAAACTCCATCAAGGCCTCTCCCCAACAACCTGTGCCAGATCCACGGATGAGAGAAAAACGGACACTATCGTTATCTCCAAACCAGGTGACAAGGCAGCTTGAAAGTCTATCATCCCAAACCCAGAAAGCCAGCACTGCTGCTAGTAGTTCCAGCTCATAGATGATCGAATCCTTTGAACCACTGCCAAAGCACTTGCAATGCTCCGGATCCAAGCCGATGCCAAACCATGCTTTGCATGTGCCTTCACAATCCAGGACTACTGCTCCCAAGCCACCATCCTTGCTGGATTGTTCATAGGCAGCATCAGTGTGAATGAACCATTGATCCGCCTCTTTGTCCGAGATCTCAACTGGCTGCCCAAGCTCCAATCGCAACTTCATGGCTGCGAGCGCTTGCTTGGTGCTGGGATCAAGTGTCTTCTGGCGGGAGTAAGCATGTTCCACAAGTTTCTTCAGCAGGAGTCCACCCAACCTGCCATGCAAAAAGCTGTCAGCAAATCCCAGGCGGCCGCGAAGAACTAGCGAGTCGTGCTTAGACAGTTCACCACATTTCAAGACTTCCTCAAGCTTGCTTATGAGGTCAACTCTCCTCTGTTCTGTATTGTAGATTCTGGCAATCCGCGATTCAGAGTTGCTCAGGTCAAATGTGACCCCGAGGGCCGAGCACAGCTCACCAAAGGTAGTTGACTTTTTGCCCTCCTTAGCAAATTCCCAGCCTGTCAGCAGGAACAACACCTCCATGGACAGGTTCGCCGACTTGCTCGCTTCAGGGTTTGACAAGAGGACAAAATCGTCATAGAAGTTGGTGTTCAGTACATAAAGGGCCTTTGCTGCAGCTGTGTGAATCATGCGGGCCGGTCGGAGGAAGGAATAAACCGAGTGAGTTGCCCCAAAAGGCAACGTCAGCAGCTGGTAGATTTCAACTCCCTGAGACTCAGGATTGTAGATGCTGAAGAAGGCGTATTTCAGATGATCA